TAAAAATAGGAAAACACTGCCAAGGTTGTTCATACGTGACACTAAAAGTCCTCCCTTGGTGTGACCACCACAATTTAGTTTCCAAATGACTTAGCTCTATCCACTACCCTAAATGTTCAGGAAAGGACAAACTACCTGCTTTCTTCTTCTTCTTCTTTAATAAAAATTGTATATACTTAAGGAATGCAACATGGTAATTTGATGCACACGCACACACATGTGTCGGGAAATGGTTACTATAGTCAAGCTACTTATCTTCTCCTCGTTTGGTTATGCTTTGTTTTTCAGTTTGTGGTGAGAGCACCTGAAATCTACTCTTAGCAAATTTCCAGTATTTAATACAATACCATTAACTGTAGTCACCAGGCTTTAGCTCTCTAGACCAATTCATCCCATGTAACTGAAACTCTGTACCCTTTGGCCACATGAGCTGCCATCTCCTCACCTTCCTGTCCCTCCTAACCACTGTCCTACCTGTTTAAGCCGGACTTGTTTGGGCCTTGGTGGCCGAGGCCACCTGTCGGGGAGCTCGCTCCACTTGAGGACCTGGCCAATTCTCACCTTCCCTTGCATGGCTAATCAAAAGTGGACTATACAAAACTTGCAAACACCATTGAATAGGTGTCTGCATGCAACAGCAAATGGGACTTGAGTGGCAAAATGGGATCTTTAATGAATATTTAACCAAAAAGATTTTGCTAACTGACACTCTGTAAGCCTCACCCACAAGTATTCTTGAGCTTAGTTGTGCCTAAAGAGAAGGGAAACCAAAAACATGGGAATTTTCCTTACCTCCTGACCCTTTGATATTCTTTATATAAGACTGTAAACTATTCTTTTATAATTAGTATACTATAATACTTTCCCTTAAAAAGAAAGCACTCTACCAGATGTCACATAATGTGTTCGCCTCAGTGTCCATTTGGGATGTAATTTGAGAGACACCAGACAAGAAACACACAGGTCCAAATTATTTCCTTCCCTAGACTATCACTGACATCTAAAAATTTCATCCTTAGTCATTTTGTTTCAAAAGCATAGGAAACAATAATAGTGACCATAATACTACCTACCATTCTGACTACCATGGATGAAGTTCTTTAAATATATAACATGGTATTATTAGCTCAACTGATGGTTCAGGAACCTGAGATTCAGAGAGATCAGTAGCTAACATAAGGTTATACAGAAAGCAAAGCCTGGAAAACCCAGTGTCTCCGATATTCCACACCCATCCATGGGGCTACTGCTCACGGGACTAACTCACTAAGCACCAAACCCCAGAGCAGAAGATGCTTCCGGACATCATTCAGTTACTTCTGAAATGACAGCTCATGGTTTCTGAAGGGTCTTCTCCAGTGAGACTTGAAGCAGAAAGTGGAGTAAGCGCAGGAACCCTACCCAGGATTCACTAGGAAACCCGGATTCGGTGTTACAGAAGGGACTGCAAGCGTGCAGGAGCTGCAGCCAGGGTGGGGTGCCTAGCGGAAGGAACCAGGACCACACGCGCCACGATGAAGCACTGCCAGGGGGCTTCTGGCTTCTGACCCGGCTGCAGTCAGCACGAAGACAGTACAGAGCCCCTGCTCTCTCCCACTGCGTTCAAGTTCATGAGGCATTTCCACTCAGAAATGACAGCACATTAAGTAAAACGGGATGGATTCGTAGTATTATTTCTTTGAAACAGTATCATAGAAACTAGAAATGAAATTGGAAAACACTATAAAAATATGATAATAATAAACTAACCTGAGGTAGTTCCTACGTGGGCTTTATAGCATCGAATGTCATAGACGGTAAAGTGTCATAAAATGATAAATAAAATGTCCACTTACCGGATGGAACCACCCGTATGACCTTTTCCCAAGGCCCATGTGGGAACGTATGAAGAGAGCAAGAATAAAACCCGACATCAGCGTCTGAGGCATTGTTAAAGGACAGGGTCATATCATTAGGAGGTGGGGTTGCATTTAAAAAGTCAACCCGGCCGGCATAGGGCTCTCTTATGATCACACCGTAAGTAGGGCTGAAAATGGCTATGGACTCTTTCTCCGTTGTGTTGATTTTGAACCACTCCATCTGGGTTAAGGTGTCCATTGATGGATACACACATTCTAGAGTCATATTTTCGGCCAGTTTAACAGTTGTGTCCCAAAACATCTCTTCACACAGAGCTGAAATATACAACACATTATTTTCAGTTAGACTTGATGACTGAAACACCAAATAGATGTGTTAGGCTTATCGTAAGCTTTCTAAGACCTAGAGAAATAGTAAATTGAGATCATGGTAAAGGCTGATAGTTTCTACTTTAGTCAAAAAAATTTCCACTGCTGACAACTGGTATTTGTAACCTGTAGTTTTTTCTAAACAAGTGAGAAATTATCTAAGGCAATGGAAGAGCATTACAAATTCTGAATGTGTCACACTAGAAGACCAAAAAAAGGAGCACATTTTGAAAATGAAGACATTATCTTTACCTTTGTATACCTGAAGAAAAGCCAAGAGGAAAGTAAGATAATCCATCTCTGGAAACAACTTGGGAGGCTGGTCTATGAAAAAGACAATTTTCATAATGTTACATGCAGAGGTCCAGCACAATGCACTGTTTCCTTCCTCTCAGATATCATCAACAGTGTCTTCTTTCTCTGAAGTATGAACACAGGAAAAGGTCTTAGCTTCAAAGTCAGGTTTGCTCTCGTACAAAGACGAGCAGATTTAAATTGCTTCTCTCGGGGAAATAGCTTATTTTCAAGCTTTCATTTTCTACAAAGATTCATTCACTGAACACTCCCAGAGTGTGTTCTCTTGTGCCAAGCTCTGCTCCAGCTGATAAAGATACAAAAATAAATTTAAAAAAAATAAAAGAAGACAGTCCTTGCCATCATGGCACTTACATTCTAGTGGGAGGAGACTGAAACTATGGAAGTAAAAAATACAGCAAGTTATAGGTCGTAAGAGCAGAAAGAAAAAACAAGGCAGGCACGTAAGGATGGGAAGGGGAGCATTTGCCCTTTAGAAGGAAGGCCCCGTGAGTCTTCACTGAGAGCGTGAGCTGGAGGCAGAGACCCTCCAGGCCGGCGGGGGGAGCGTGGCTCAGGTTCACAGCCTCCCCAGCGTGGTTACTTCTCTCTCTCTGCTGACCTCTGGCATTTGCTTTGGGGGTGACAAAGGCCCACTGATGGCCCCCCAGGTATGAAAGTATCATGCATGCTCAGATCAAATGCAAATCTACTGTTTGCATTGATTTTTAAAAGGTTTTTATTTTGAAATAGTTACAGAGTCACAGGAATTTGAAAGACAGTTCAGAGGTGACCCGGGCGGCGTTCCCCAGCGCCCTCCATGGTTGCGTTGTATGTAAGTGCAGTACAATACCAAACCCAGCTGACTTCTGTAGTTCGTCACGGTTCCCTTTCCCTGTCATACACTAATAATTTGATAAAGAACTTGTTAGAAACATTTTACTGCATTGGTATAAAAATACATTACTGCCTCTATAGCAAGAAGAATAGTGTAAATATTTTTAGCCCCTGACGAGAGGGCCAAAATAAAAGGTGGGGAGAAGGGAGCACAAGTCACAAAAGACAATGTGCCAAAGACCAACTCAGAACCTCCCACGTGATTCAATGCAAAAGTTTATCAGGACGTGTCCAATACTCTGTATCAGCATCTAATCAGGCAACTTTTTCAGGAAACTTGGAATCAAGTATGCAATCAACAGTGTAATGATAACCAGAACAAAATAATAATGTGTACATACAGCAACGTATAGTGCTGCCTTCTGCTTGCATAGCATTCTATTCTCCAAAAGCTTCCCACATCCGTGACATTATTTGCGCCGTAACAGCGGTGGGATACAGCCAAATGAGGTATCTGTTATCTTTGTTCGGTAAGTAAGGTAATGAACACTTAGTCCAAAATTGTACTGAACTGTGCAAGGTGCCCTGCTTAAGCCCCAGAGACGCAAGCATGAGGAAGACATGGTCTCCATCCTCAAGTCATGCATAATATGCTGGGTCAGACTGATTGGAAGAGTAACTTATTATAATAAAACTCAATAATCTCCATACAAGTCATTTGAGCAAATTTCATGACAGCCCAGAGAGAAAACAATTCATCCTAATCGATTTGGGAAAGGGTTCATAGAAAAGGGCACCAGACGCTGGGCCTCCAACCTGAATAAGACTTTCCAGGTGGAGGAGAAGGAGGAGGAGGTAAAGGTGTGACCACTTGGTACATTTTGAGGAAATGGTGTGACACAGTCTAGGGGACAGGTAAGTGACAAAAAAGAAGGTGGGTCTGGATTGAAAGTGTCTTGAATGGCACCCAGAGGAGTTCAAACTCGGCCATCAGAAACCACAGCATCTTGCTTATACCTGTCACTCTGGCGTCAAGCATGGCCCTGGGACTGACACCTACGGCATAAATAACCACAGCTCCGAAAGGAGCACAGAGCCACAGAGCATCTTCTGGAGGCAGGTGCTGCGGAAGGTTTTGCCAGTTTGGAAGATAACCTGGGTCCCTGTGCAGAACAGGCTGAGTGACAAGGGCACTGAGAATTTATATCTGCATCAGAAAAACTAATGTCATCCATCAAGTCTTAACTGTAGGACTTCGCCTTGACAGGTACTGACAGAAAATGAAACTATAAAACCTGAAGTAGAGCCATTCCCAAGAATTCCTAAGCAGTGCCCTCTTATCTGTGCCCCTGGCAGCCACAGCCACTGTGACCTGCCTCAGACCTGTGTCCCCTCATACACACACACACACACACACACACACACACACACACACACACACTGCACCTGGAGTGACTTTGTGACAGACACTGTAAAGCCCATAAAGCCTAAAGAGTCTCTGGTCTTTCACAGAAAGTTATCCAACTCCTGGTCTAGTTGAAAAGACAGACATTAAATAAACAAACATACAAATAAATGTATATTGACAAAATACACTTTGTTAGGAAGAGAAGGGTGAGCATATTTGCAGAGAGAATAGCTGGGGTTAGCAGTCAGGAAGGACCCATTTAGGGGGTCCCTGGGAAATGCTCTAAAGAAGTGATGCTAAAACCTGAAGAACCAGTGGGTGTCAGCAAGGTGAAGAGAGCAGGTAGGTGTTAGAGCAAAGATAAGCAGTGCAGGTAGACAGGAGAACAGGCACATGAATCCAGAGCCCATTCGGGACTTGTTCAAAGTCATTGTAGCTGGAGCAAGTGCGGGAAGAGGGGACAGAAAATGACAGGAGATTAAACAGTGTAGACAGATGGATTGAGATTATGCTTGCCCATGTGGGCTTTCTGGTATGATGCTAAGAACAACTGGAAGTTATTGGGAGTTTTAGGCACCAGAATGGTATCTGATTTAAATTCTTAGAAAGGTAACTGAATATCATCCATTTCCTTTTCCTCACTCTTAGCAGAAACCTGACTTTGTTTAGGAATCTACTCTTCTCTCACCCGCCAAGATGTTATAACAAATCTAAGCAATTCCACTGACAATGGTGACGAACTGGGGGGGGGAGGGAATAAGCGGTGGTGGTACACTACCTGCCATGAACTGAGTTTAGCCAATCAGAGTAAAGGAAATTATTTACAGTCCATGTCAGAAAGACTGGTCTCTCTCTCTCTCTCCCCCTCAGTGACTCCCTCCTTCCCTCCCTCTCCCCCATGCCCTCTCTCCTTGGAATCTAACCCTATGTGCCCCAGTGACTGCAGGCAGCTCTCTTAAATAAAATCACCCTGAGGACAAAGAGGATTGCGGAGAGATGGGAAGAAACGGGTCTCAGATGGCGACACTGAGCTGCTGAATACACCAACTCTACAGGCTGAGTATCCTGGGTAAGATGATCAATTTCCGTATTTTATAAGCCAATTAGAAAATCAGTTTCTGTTACTGCCTCCATATACATCTGAACTGGTACAACTGTCCTGGCTGCTGCATGAAGACTAGATTGGAGAGAAGCAAAAAGGGACATCAGACTGTCAGGACACAGTTACTATAATCTAAGCAAGACAGGCTAGTGGCTTGGACTAGGCTGATTCCCACGGAAATGAGAGGGATTAATTGACTGGCAGGACACTATCTATTATCATATAAAGATACAACAATAATAGGCATCCTTAACTCCAAATGCCCCAGTCAGGGCTCAGTTAGGAAAACACAGCTCATAGCCAGCGGTTCAATAGAGGATATCTCATAAGACAAACCGTGGGAGAGGAGATACAGCCAAACGGGTGGGGAGACAGCTCAGAGAGGAGCACAAAGAGGAAGCCGTCTCGGCCCTGGGGTCAGAGGGCCCAGAGGGGGCCAGGGCTGCCCGACTGAAGCTGGGGCCACAGAGGAAAGGTCAAGGAATGGATCCGTAAGAAAAGAGAATGATGGGTGAGGAAACTGATGCCCAGCGAACTTAAATCACCACCAGTTCAGGACATTTATGGAGAACATGCAGCTGATATTTATGACAGCCCACTCAGTGGTGAAGACTTGCCCTCTAAGATCAGAACAAGACAAGAACCTCATTTTCACCACCCATTTTCATAAAGTACGGGAAGTTGAAGTTTTAGAGCAATTAGACAAGTAGAAAAGCAACCAAACTGCAAGGGGAAAGGCAATCTACAAGTCCAGTGCAGCCCTTACCAACTCCCAATGGCTTTTTTTGCAGAGGTGGAAAAGCTGATTCTCAGATTCATAGAGAATGGGAAAGGCAGCTTGAAAAATAAAGAAAAAGTTGGAGGACTGAGACTTCTGCCTTTCAAAACTAAGCGCAACAGTAGAGTGATCAAAACAGTGTGGTGCTGGCATAAGGAAAGATATACAGACCAACAGAACTGAGAATCAAGACATAAACCCATACATCTAAGGCCAATTCAATTTCAACACAAGTGCCAACACCCTTTAAAGGGGGAAGAATAGTCTCTTCAGTAAATGGCATTGGGGTTAGATAGCCACATTCGAAAGAGTAGATATCACAAACTATGTACAAAATTAACTCCAATGGACCAGCAACCTAAATACAAGAGCTTAAACTATAAAACTTGTATAAGAAGACAGAGGGGCAAATCTTCATGACCTTGGATTTAGCAATGCATCCTTAGGTAGGACACCAAAGACATGGGCAACAATTTGACTTCATCAAAATTAAAAACTTTTGTGCACCAAAAGATGTTATCAATGAAGCAAAACCTTCAATTAATTAATTGAAGATAATGTAAAGAATGGGAGAAAATATTTGCAAATCATACATCCGAAAATGATCTAGTATCCAGAATAAAGAACTCTTACAACTCAACCACACAAAGATAAACAATGCAATTTTAAAATGGGCAAAGGACGTGAATAGACCTTCCTTCGAAGAATATATACAAATGGCTAATGCTTGAAAAGATGTTTGCTATCATTAGATGTTAGGGAAATGCATATCAAAACCACAGAGATACCACTTCACGCCCACTAGCATGGGTATAATAAAAAATAAGGAAAACAATAGTGTTGGCAAGTATGTAGAAAAATGGAGACCTTTGTGAATTGCCTGCGGGAATGTAAAATGGTGCAGCTGCTGTGGAAAACAGTTTGGCATTTCCTCAAAAGGTTGAACAGGATACTCATATGACCCAGCAATTCCACTCTGAGGTTTACAACCAAAAGCACTGAAAACAGGTACTCAAATACTTGAATGCCAATGTTCATAGCAACTCCATTCATAAGAGCCAGAAGGTGGAAACAACCCAAATGTCCAATAAGAGGAGACAGAACAAACAAATGTGGTATAGACATATAATGGAATAGTATACAACCACAAACAAGGCGAGGACTACTGATTCATGCTGTACCATGAATGAGCCTTGGAAACAGTATGCTGAGTGAAAGAAGCCGGACACAGCAGGTCAGATACTATGTGAGCCCATATATATGAAATGTCCAGAAAAGGGGAACCCATAGACAGAAAGCAGACTGGTGGTTGCATGGCGCTTGGGCTGGAGAAATGAAGAGTGACTACTTGAAGTGCAGAGTTTTCTTTGGGGCTGATGAAAATGGTCTGGAACTAAATAAAGGTGGCAGTTGCAAAATGTTGTGATGTACTAAATGCCACTGAATCACATACTTGAAAATGGTTAATGCTGTTACATGAATTGCACTTAAATTTTAAAAAATTACTTTCAGTGAATAGCAAGAGTCCAAATTCATCTCAGGTCTTTGCAGTTGTAGAAGGCACCACAGTTGCTCTTGGCTTTGTGCTTGTAGATGCCACTTGACCCACCGACGATTCTGGTCAGCAACTCAGACCGAGCCTCAGATACGTTCTAAGAACCGAGTCCAGGAGCACACTGCGTGCCACAGCTTTGTAATAACAGCAGGAAATAAATAATGTAAAAGAGCATAGCCCAGGTTGTTGGATAAATGATTTGTGATATAAAAAAACATATTAAGTGCTTAAACAAATGCCAAAATACATGCATGGTGGGTGTGACGGGGAGTGGGGGTAGTCAGAGAAAGAAAGGAGGTAAGGGTTGGATAAGGGTGATAGAGGCTCAGGCAGACAGGTAAGAGGGACAGACGGACCAAGGTGTCTGCTGCAGTGCCCTGGCTATGGACCTTAAAAGAAGTTGGAGGTCACAGCACCTCCCGCTCTCAGCAGCTCCTACCACCAGCCCCCCAAGTGCACGCCCTCCCTTGGGAGAAGGAATCAGGGGTGAGGGGAGACTTGGGGAAGGGGGAACTAATGGACAGTACCTTGTGGTGACACTTCATCCCCAGGGCATTCAGAGCCAGCTTAAGTCCACAGCGAGAGACCAGAGGTGCACCTGCATTTCCAGCTGAATGAAACCCAGGGAGCCTGAGGTCACGGATCCGAGAGGAGGGGCAGAAAGACACGCCGCTGAAGATAAAGTCCAGCCTATGCATGAGCGCTATTTATCAACATCTAACCAAAGACAAATAGAGACTTGCTTGAGCTATTTTTGTTGTATAGGCAGCCATTTTTTGTATGATTTATGAAGGGATTTTGGCTTGAGGTTTTTTCTAATAGAGCTGTCTATATCAAAAAGCTTCATCCTCAAGGAAGTCATTAATCAAAATATTACTGGATTTCTCTACAGTTGAGCATGCCCCAGCTAACCACATAAGTATGAGTTCATCTCATAAGTTTGCCTTGGCCTGCGGCCTCCTGGGTGACCCGGCTGGGTGACAGTCTTCAGACACGCAGTTTCATTCTCTCAGGCTGTTCACGCAGCCACTTCCCCACCTCCTTGGCTTCAGCGCCTCCGTGCTCGGTAATGTGTTCTGCTTTCCCCAGTGTCACTGCCCTTTCGGAACATGGGGAGGATTCTCGTCTCTGCCCAGTTTCCCAAGCCCACCTTCCCAAGCTCATGCTGCCACACCTGGCGGGTAGGGGGCGGAATCGGTCTCACACTCGCTCAGACAACTGTGACGTGCCGGAAAGCGGGGACTGCGAAGCAGAAAGCCCAGTGCTAGACTTGGTGAGGCAGGGCCTGGGGCTGGGAAGGCAGCAGGGCTGAGCCCCTCTGTGTCCTCCTTCTTTCAGATGCCAGAGCTGGACTGTGGGCCTCTGGCTGGGATGTCCCCGCTGCTGAGAGGCTTGGGCTTCAGCAAGACTTCAACGGGAGAATTGTTGTTGGGGCTTCTGCTCCCGGCCCCAAAAGATCCCCTTGGGAGACTCTTCCCAGTGAGGGACATGCGGGTTCCCTCAGGCCCTGACATGCTTGGAACTTCAGCAAACCCACAGACCTGGCCCTCAGGGCCCCCCCTGAGGAGCCACAGAAAGTCACTTCTATTCAAAGCAGGTCCTCCAGTTTGGCCTCCATGGGGACCTTTACGACAGGGGTCCACAAACTCCGGCCCATGGGCCCCATGCAGCCTGTATCTGATCTTTGTGAACAGATGGACTCGGCCATGCTCCCCACTAGTGGGCAGACACTGTCAGAGGCTGTTTCTGGTGCTACAAGGAGGAGTTGCGACAGACACCACATGGCCTACACATGGCCTACAAAGCCAGAAACATTAGCTATCTGACACTTTACCAAAAAAGTTCACCAACCCTTGGGCGACATAATAAATATTTGCATACTGAACATAATTATTTAAGTTCATCCTTGCTGCGGTCTCTCTCGAAGGAGGAAGATTAAGCCTGATAGTCCAGAAACTGGTAAAATTAGCTCAATTCTACATTCTCAAGAACCATGTAGCAGACTTATAGATACAATTCTAGAAACAGACTGGAGAGAAAGGCTGAGCACCCTTCTCCTAGCCCGTGCCCACCACTGGGTCCCAGGTTTATAGAGCATCAACCACCCAGCTGCTTCCCGTGGCTCTGCTCCATCTCCCTGTCACACCCCTTTGCCAACAGCCCCGCTCTTTTGCACACTAGTAAGTTTATGAGTGTGAAGTCAGCCATCTCCAGCCTTTTCTCTAGAAGGTCACTAACCTTGCGGTGTCAGCGCTGTGCCCGCTCGGACTTCACCCTTCCGGGTGCCATAGGCCGAGGGCTTCCTGTCTGCTGGTACTCCTCCGGGCGATCCCCACCCCTTCTTAGCGCTGCAGGAGTGGCCGGGGCTGTTGTTCCCGGGCCTGACTGGTCCCCTGCTTTGAGCTCTGCATGCCCCCAGAGCCCCTTCAGGCAGGAGCTGAGGCAAACGGCAGAAATTTCATTAAGCAGAGCTTTTTGAAAGATTAAAACCAGTCAAGAGGGTACTTGCTTCTGGAAGCTTCTTTACCATTTTAGCTACTCACACTCACTCCAGTCTCAGACCCTCTCTTTCTCCCCACAAGAGTCTACAGTTTGAGAGGATGTATTTCTCATCTTCTGTTCAAACTCTAAATTGAAACCACACACAAAGAACTTGAAGCTGGTTACTTTGCCTTTTCTTCCCCATTTGTTTTCCTGCCAATCAAAGCACTTCACATTCAGAGGTCTGTTTCTCTGAGGTGCAGGGAGTGTGTTATCTCTGCTCATATCTAAGCCCGGTTCAATCTCACCCTCTAGATTCGCCGTCTGGTTTTGTTTTATAACCTCCCATTTCTCTGACACCAGGGGCTGCCTCCTAAGAATTAGTTAAACCACCAGGAAGGGCTGTGGCTGAGTTTGAGTTCGTGTAATTCACAGAAATACTAGGAAGGTCAGTTGGTGTCTGACAGAGAAAAAAGCACAGACTGGGGGCTGGCCTGCCCCCTACATTAGCTGTGCACCATGGATGCAGGGATGGGCTCTTTTGGGGGGCGCAGGTATGCCTGAAGGCATGCAGGAGGAAAATGAAATGCTGTCTTTCATCATGCAAATGCATTTGAGGGCTTACTAAGGGACAGAGGAAGCTGCCTAAACACTAACCACCTCATGTCACTCCCTTCAAGGCCCCACATCCTCAAAAGAGCATCCCATACTTTTTACTGACATTCAAGGCTGGACATGACTTACCTCTGCTGTTTTCCAATCTCATGTCTTACACTTTGCTCATTCCCACCCTCCACTCAGACTCTCCCTAATATTTCATAATTTGAGGAACATGTGCTGACAGGGTAGGGCCTTTGCACATGGAGTTCCTTCACCTTGACTTCTCTTGTCCTTCCATCCAGCAGGTCTCAGCCCAGACATCCCACAGAGGGTGATCTCCCCGAGTCCCCCAGGACCAGGGTAGGTATTCCCTTTGTACATTCCCTGAGAACCCAGATATACCCTCACTGAGACACTTATGACATCCTCTGTAATCGCCCATTTATTTGCTGCATTTCTTATTATAGCCTGTTAATCCCTTCAAGATGGGTATAAAGTCTCGTCAACTGCTGCCTCCACAGAGTCATGCACAGTGCCTGGCGCACAGTGGGTGTTCCATCAATGTTTGTTGAATGCAGGTGAAGCAATGACTTCTCCCTGTCAGGTCCCATAGCCTGTGCTCTGTACACCAATTACAGTCTGACTACATCCTCTTTCCAGTGTGGGCTTTTTTCTTTTGCCTTCTTTTTCTGTTTCTTTAGTGAATAAGACAAAAAGAAGCCTTGATCTCAAGAGTGCATTGATTTTGCAGGACAAACCTAAAAATACTGTCCTGATTTGGGCCAACCTTTTTCAAAATGATCCAGGGGGCCCTAAAGTGAACCTCAAACATTGAGTGAAACAGCTACTGTCTACGCAGATGATTCACATCGCATTGAATGAGAGAGCCTATTTTAACGGTCAGTGCCACTTACATCCATGGGGCCTAGGCTTGACAATTTGTTCTACCTACTCCCTGACTCACCGAATCCAGATTTATATATGCTAGGTGCCTCTCCCAAATTATTCTGCCTTGTATCATCACTTCCCGGTTCACCATGCACATGAAAATACCCACACACATCGCCATCATCACATACAGAGACAGTTTTCGTTGTTTCTCTGGAGAGTCTGTCTCCTCTGGTTTCTTTAGGTTTCTTCTTGCGGCTCTTGAGATCTTACAATATAAAGCACCTACCACTTGGCTGTGTCCTTGCGGGGACATGGGTGCCCCAGTATCTCAGCCCCAGGAATGCAACGTGGGTCTCTTCAGCATGAAGCTATGTAATCTTGCTCAGCAAATAGGGGAAATGCTTGAAGATCACATGGTCCACAGTGACTCCCCAAACAAAGCAGAAGGACATCCTGAGACAAATGACCCCACCTTGTGCCTCCAGAGAATGGTCATCCTAACCGCGTTCCAGGCAGGAGAACAAGTGGGGGCAAAGACAAGGAAAACGAGTGGGGCAGAGTGGAGGTCACCTGCTGCTTACAGAGGTGAACCAAATGCCTCGCTCCAGCGTTTTTCAGTGGCCCTTATTAAGGGCCTTTTCAACAGTTTAGAGTCGCAGCGCTCCTTAACATGACCATTTATTGACAAAAATAGGAAACTCAGCTACAATCATCGCACCCCTGGACGAAGCGCTGCATTAGCTGCCTCCTGACTCTTATTCTCTAAGGTCACTGGGGCACCACCTCCGAGTTCTAACAAATGGTGAGTAATGGAAACGCAAGTATTTATCTTGCCTTCTCGGTACAAATTTCATTTCAGGGTGACCTAAATTTCTCTTTAAAGAAAAACTCATTACTAAGTCAAAAAACAATCATAAATTTTTTTTAAAAAATCACTATTCTACAACTCTTATTAAAATAAGAGATTGAGACAACAGTTACTAGGAGCCTCATAATGAAATACGCTGCTGATTGCTGGTCCCTGAGCCCTTTTGGCTTCAGCGCCTCCGTGCTCGGTAATGTGTTCTGCTTTCCCCAGTGTCACTGCCCTTTCGGAACATGGGGAGGATTCTCGTCTCTGCCCAGTTTCCCAAGCCCACCTTCCCAAGCTCATGCTGCCACACCTGGCGGGTAGGGGGCGGAATCGGTCTCACACTCGCTCAGACAACTGTGACGTGCCGGAAAGCGGGGACTGCGAAGCAGAAAGCCCAGTGCTAGACTTGGTGAGGCAGGGCCTGGGGCTGGGAAGGCAGCAGGGCTGAGCCCCTCTGTGTCCTCCTTCTTTCAGATGCCAGAGCTGGACTGTGGGCCTCTGGCTGGGATGTCCCCGCTGCTGAGAGGCTTGGGCTTCAGCAAGACTTCAACGGGAGAATTGTTGTTGGGGCTTCTGCTCCCGGCCCCAAAAGATCCCCTTGGGAGACTCTTCCCAGTGAGGGACATGCGGGTTCCCTCAGGCCCTGACATGCTTGGAACTTCAGCAAACCCACAGACCTGGCCCTCAGGGCCCCCCCTGAGGAGCCACAGAAAGTCACTTCTATTCAAAGCAGGTCCTCCAGTTTGGCCTCCATGGGGACCTTTACGACAGGGGTCCACAAACTCCGGCCCATGGGCCCCATGCAGCCTGTATCTGATCTTTGTGAACAGATGGACTCGGCCATGCTCCCCACTAGTGGGCAGACACTGTCAGAGGCTGTTTCTGGTGCTACAAGGAGGAGTTGCGACAGACACCACATGGCCTACACATGGCCTACAAAGCCAGAAACATTAGCTATCTGACACTTTACCAAAAAAGTTCACCAACCCTTGGGCGACATAATAAATATTTGCATACTGAACATAATTATTTAAGTTCATCCTTGCTGCGGTCTCTCTCGAAGGAGGAAGATTAAGCCTGATAGTCCAGAAACTGGTAAAATTAGCTCAATTCTACATTCTCAAGAACCATGTAGCAGACTTATAGATACAATTCTAGAAACAGACTGGAGAGAAAGGCTGAGCACCCTTCTCCTAGCCCGTGCCCACCACTGGGTCCCAGGTTTATAGAGCATCAACCACCCAGC